ATTTTTATTTGTTTTCTGAGAATAATAGACTAGTCACTAAACATTAAAGTTGATTAATAAATTATAATTATTATTTCTTTAAAAAATAGTTTTAATAAATAGGTAGTTTCTAAAACGTCTACACACTGAGAAGACCAGCTTTTGAACAGAAACATTTCATTTATGGAAATATGGTCACGTAATAATCCCCTATTCACTCAACTACGAAACTATATAAAAAAATGACTTGTTATTGTTTTGAAAGTGAATAAGTTTTAAAGTTTTGTTTTATTTTATGTTTTGTTTTTTTACATTATGAATTTTTTGGTTTGATGCGGGGGGTGGCGTGTAACTGTTTGTTTTCGCTGTGTACGCGGTTGGGAGGATTGCGATTTATTGTCCCAAAAATTACGTTTTATTTATTGTTTTAAAATAAATCCCAATCTGTTTAGGAACAGAACGTGACGTTAAATTTTCCTAATCGGGAAGGAGATAACAGATTTCTGAAGGACATCTCGGTACTACCGAACCGAAGTCACCCCGCCGAACACTTTTAAAACAATTTTGGTTGTTTTTCTTTTTAAATGAATAACCCTTAAAGGTCTTAACTACTTCTGTTTAAGATACACTCACTATGATGTACATTTGGAATAAAAAAATAAAAAATTTAAAAAATGACAATATTGAAATAAAGTTTATAATTTTTTTCAAAAAAATCTTAATGAATGATGACCTTTAAAAATTATCTGTACAAAATTCTCATTCTCTTTAGCAACGAAGTTTTGTATCTTTTCTATCAAGCATAACTTATTTTTAACTTTGTTACAAGCATGGGGCAGCCAGGATCGAACTGACAACTAATAATTTTCGAGTAGCTTGCTGACCATTGGCATCATACCACGATGAGGCACCTTTTCTTTACGAAACTTTGGGATCAAGTCCACGTGTATCGGCTGTCCAGTAAGGCTCGCTGATCAGTAGTAGCAATCAACAACCAAGTTATCACGTTAACCATTTACCCTATACCGAGGGACTCTAATTATTTACTAACCTTACCTTAGGTTGGCATAAGGCTACAAGTATGAGGGTAAATAGTGAAGATCTAACTCCTCTCTTTGTTGCAGCAGAGCAGAAAATAAGATGAGAGAGAACACACATCCAGAGTTTTACGTGTTTGCTTAGCCTCATGGCGACATTTTTGTTATTAGTTCTAGGCCTTAATTGTTACATGATATCTGTCCTACTGTATGGCGTTGAATGCTGGACAATTTCCTAGAAGATGAAGAAGAGATTTGAAGCAACAGAAATATGATACTACAGAAAGATGCTGAGGATACCATGGACCGAACATGTGAACTACAAGATTAGAGAAAAATGGAAACAAAAAGAAAACTTATACTTAACATCAGGAAGACAGTTGAAATTACTGGGGGTACATAATATGGAAGAAGGGCTTGGAAAATCTGATACTCACAGGACAGATTGAGGGCAAGAGAGAAGAAAACAACACATGACATACTTGATGAGCTTGAGAAAATGGATGGCAGAACATGGTTTAGAAATAAAGAGAGAATTTATTTCAGTTTAGTTATATGTGCCATGTGTGATACATGCTTAGGCGATCATGTATCTTTTGATACATGACTGACGAGGCAGATTTTTCTTGCAGTAGATTGCCATTTCTTTCTGCAGTAGACCAGTTGCCATTCAAGGCTATAGAACCTGGTCTGTCCTGCTATTTGCTCAAAGCTAGGGGTGGGGGAAGTAGAAGATTCATACCTTTCCCAAGGGTATTAGCACATAAGTGAATGTAATGGATTCAACTGAAATTCAAACTCGGTTCTCTGATTCCTCAATCTGAGCCTCTATCCATTACTCCACTGTGCCTCCAAATTTATTTAGTGTGGAGAAATTAAATGTTTGTCAGGCAGGAAAAAAGCAGTGTACTTGTGTTGTTGAAATCCTTAGACCTTACTTAACAAAAGGTTTGTTATTATAATTACTAATCATTTATAGTTACAGTGGTTACATGAGTGGGTTACCATGTGTCCCTGAATTTTTATATAAAGAGAGGAAATCTATCTTTTTTTTAAAAAAAATACCCTCTATGTTACCAAGTTATCAGACTGTTATTATATGTTGTGGAAAATGGCAATCTATTTCACAATTTAAGGTAGGTGCTATTGCTTTTTTTCCTCAACCTGACCAGTCTCTGTTTGGAGAATCAGGAACATTTTCTCTACGTTAGAGCTGCAAGAGACAGGAAATTGTGGAGAACCATGACCGCCTATGTCCTGAGAGAATACAGCACATAAAGAAGTTCTAGGACAAAGCAAATGAGGGATTTTTTTTTTATCTTTGGGTGTTATATTTTAAACAGAAACTTATTACCATAATTCTTGATGTATAATATGCATTTTTTTTCTAAAAATTATTAAGCACAATCAGGAGTGCATATTATGCACAGCTACAAAAAATCCTTTAAAAAATTGCCATAAAATAAGAAGTATCATAAAACTAAATTAGAATAATATTATTCTATGTTTAAAACCATTTTTTTTAATACGAGTAGAAGACGATGGCCATAATGAAATTGGAGAGATACAATTTATAGGGTTTGATTACCAAACAAGGGGTGCGTATTATATGTGAGTAGAAGCATTTTCCCACACTTTCAGCACAAATTTTAGGGAGTGTATTATGGATAAAGGTATATTATACATGGGGGAATTATGGTACTTATTTCTTCATTTGATTCTGTGGGTGTTGTTTATTTTTATTTTTTTTTTTTTGCACTTTGAGATTACTGTTCAGTTTAATTGTGCACTATACAGTGACAAAACAAATAAATGAAATAAAATCAATGTAGCCATCTACAAATTCTACTTACTAACCATATTGATTTCTTATGGATTTGAATCAACCCACAACAAAGAAAAAGGCAAAATAGGTGCTTAAATATAAAATACTTTTATTTTTGTGTTTTTACAACTGAATTTTTCTCAGCATGTATAAGTGTTAAAGGTCCTTGTTTTTTAATTGTTTGTTAAGATGAAAACAATGTGATTTCTTTGTGTGCATGTGTGAGAAAGAAGAGGCAGAAAGTGTAAGTGTTCCGTAGCTTGGTGAGGAAGATGGGTTAACATCATGACCTATTACCGTTGTCTCTCCTTACTCCCTTTCCTGTCTAGAAACTTTGCTTAAATACCCTTCAAAGGTATCACAAAGCATGTTTTTAATTGTTGGCAGGTATGCAGTATTTCTCAAATATAGTGTATCACTGTATACACTGTATTATTTGAGTATTATATTCTAATGATATCAGTCACTGGAGGTATTTGATGCAGCATATTTGCCTTCATACTTTTCCCAAGGCTATGTTATAATATGTGTTTGGTTGGAAAGGAATAATGAGGATTAGGTTTTTAAACAACATGTATTTGCTTAATATATAAGGTGTCTTACAGCAGTGTTGGAAAATTGGTAATATGTTAATTTTGTTTGCTGATCATAAGGATGGGGATTAGGTGTAAGAATAGCACCAGGAGTCAACCAATTTCTTGGGTTGGTTTGATTGGGGTCACCAGATATAGTTGTTAGTTGGGTCTGCATGAGTTGGTCAATCGAGGTCACAGTGGTGGGTCAATTCATGGTAGGGTGCATTGGTTGCCAAGGTGATGTGGGATTGGTGTAGCTGGTAGGACCGTGTTGTGTGAAACAAGGTCATATGCTTGCAGAGTTGCTATGCTAAGGTGACAATGGTGGCAATGAAGAAGGCTTGTAGCTGGGTAGTGTCATCGTTGAGATGTTATCAATAACAACGGTTGGTATTTGGAACCTAGCAATGCTAAAGCTGGATAGCCGGCCACTGTAGTGTGTCAGGTTTGCCGACGTGATGGTGTCGGTGATGAGGAAGGTTTAAATGCTGCTATGATGTGCTGTTTTTGCTGTGTTATATTAACAAATGTGCAAACATATGGAAATCATAATTAGATGATTATGAAACAGATTATTTTTTTTAATTTAATTTGTTCACTTTTTATCTACATCTGTACATGAAGATGGAATGCATGAAAACATGTTGGAAGTTGAAAATGTTATTCGTGTTGTTGACATTTTGCTCTTTTTATGTGAGCATTATCAAAACATTCCTGAAAAAAGTTTAATAAATAAAAACACTGTAGTTAATATAAAAATTTTCAACAGTTAATAAAATTTAAATATAGATATCTGCAGAGAAATCAATGAGACTTGTACATAAGACATATGGTGATTAAAAAATAATCTTCTTCAGGACATAGGTGATCATGGCTCTCCACAACTATATTATTTCCTGTAGCTCTCAGTGGTTTTGCTCCTTTTGCTATAGCTCCCCCACCCCCAATTCTGTCGTTCATTCACACAAGCTCATCAGGCAAGTAACTCTCTGCCTTCTATCTCTCTTGTCCTCGAGATGTGCTGTGAGGGTTAAGTTTTCCAAGCCCACCTTCTTCATTGTGTCCAAGAAATTTCAGCTATTCCTTTCCTAATTCTGAGTAGAAGTGTTCTTTCTGTTGCCATTTTCCTTTAAGACATCCTTGTTGCTTATTCACTCCATCTATGGAATTTTCAGTATTCTTCTGTAGAACCACATTTCTGCTGCCTCTTGATTTTTTCCTCAACCGTGGGAAGACTTTTTAGCTTTCACTGCCATATAAGACAATGGCTATCACATCGCAATCTAGAACTCTTTTCTATATTTCTAACAAAATTTTTTCCATTTCTCAGCACCTTGCAAAGTGTGTATAAATAAAGAAAATAGTACATGCTTATGACTAAAAATGCAATTTATAATTAGATATCATTTTGGTATTAAAGAAGTGTAAAATTTAATTAAAATATATTAAGATGATTAACCAGTGTCAATTTCAATATTTTTTTTTATCAATTATTATAATTTAGATTTTAAGAAAATCTTTCAAAGAAATTCTTTTTTTGTTTTTTCAGATTAAATTTCACATTTGATCACTTCCATTGCAAAGATGCTTCATGGTTTGTCCCTGTGTCAAAGATGTGCTTCCTACCTCTTTCAATTACACCGTACTCTTCCTAAAGCCACTGTGAAACGTAGCCTTTCCAGTCAGCCTGTTGACATGCTGGCCAACAACAGCTACATACCTAGACGGGCAGTTCTTTATGTTCCAGGTAGTGACATGAAAAAATTGAACAAGATTCAGTCACTTAAGGCAGACTGCATTGTTCTTGACTGTGAAGATGGTGTAGCTTATAACATGAAGGTAAGAAGTAAAGATTAAAAGTAGAGAATTTTGTGTTTGAATGATTTTTTTTAATCATTTCACACTAAGCAAGACAATAATGCCACTAAGATGCAACAGGTTACTAGGAGTGAAAGAGAATAAGAAGTGTTGTTTCCAATCCTGTAGTGGAAATGAAATGCAGACAGAGTAGCCAACCACTATTGATAATGGTACCTGCCCTGTGTTGGTCAAAGAGACGATGTTTAGTGTGCTGTCTCTGCAGAAAGAAAGCCAGTACAAACCTCAGAAAATCTGATTATGAAAAAAGATAGTGTCTACCAGTTTCCCCATGTTAGTCAGAATGGTGAGTTGAGCAGTGTTATCTATGCAAATGATTCTTTTGCAAGCCAACCACTAAAGTTTTAGGCTCCATAAAAGCAGGCACATTTTCTGAAGAGGCAGTTTGCCATGGTGACCATATAACGAGGTTGAAGTATATTACCAAGGATTTCTGATCATGTTACCCAGCATCATTTGAAAGTCATTTGTCAGTGTTTGTGTTTCCAGTGTCTCGGCTCTGTTTGTCCCATACATGTGGTGTTCCTGTTTAAAAGTCTTGTTCATGCTCTGCCTGTCATGATCCAGTGTTTGATTCTGGTGCTGATGATTTTTTTCTGTTCCTCTTCATTGGCAGATACCCAACCAATAAAAAGAAAATCTACAAATCCCAAAGGAATGACTGCTACAAGCATCCCCCTCCCTAAATATATAGACAAATCCTGCAGATGGGATTTCTTCCTAACCAATAAAAATGGACCAATTCTCGGTCTCGCCTGCAATATCACTTGACTGCATCTCTTTTGCATGTGAATACAATTCTTACCTTGTAACCTTCTTGCCTTATTAATGTCACTTTGCCTTGTTTTGACTTTCATATATGTTGTTTGCTTAGTATTATTTTGCCCTGTTCTTTTTCTTCCTTTTCTTATTGTTTATTGAGAACTTTGTCAATTCCATTTGTTGAGGATTTTGTCAGTTACACTTTATCATGATCAATTAAACCACAAGAAAACTTTAGTAGGGAGAAAGGACAATAAAAGAACATGGTTCAGGGGAAATAGAAGAAGACAGTTGATATCGCATTTAAATTTTAAAAGAACATAATTAACACAGAAGCAATAAATCAGAAGGGAGTTCCACAAGCAAAAAGTGCAAGAAAAGAAAATATTAGAACTTATGGTGACATCTAGCTATTTCAACAGTAAAGTGATGGGACCTAATTGCCAATTCAGTAGTATGCTTAAATTCATGCAGTTGAGCTACCAATGTCTTCTTGGACTCAATGGAAACATACCTTGATGTGAGCCTTTCAACTCTCATTAGGTATGCTCATGTTACAATACTGATTTCACAAACTGAAACTGTCTACAAAAAGAACTTGAAAATGCTTGCAAGAAATGGGGACTGAAAGTAAACTTAACCAAATTCAACATAATAACAAATAAAAATGATAACATAGATAGTGAAGCTGTTAAAGATGTTGAAAACTTTTTCTTTCTAGGATCATTGGATGATATACAAGGTCTGTCTGAGAAGTAACAGGGCCGATGTCACAAACAATTTATTTCAGTTCCAAACAACAAACTACATGGTTTCCTCTTCAAAGTAATCCCACCCCTCATGCCTAATGCACTTTTCCATTCTTCTCTGTCATGCTTCTATGCACTGCTGGTAGGATGCCCTCTCAGCCCTGTCTTTATGGCCCTCTTGATGGCCTCCACACCTTCAAAACAGATCCCTTTGATGATCCCCTTGAGCTTGGGAAAAAGAAAAAAGTCACAGCCTTCTCGGCCAGGAACATCAAGATGCTCAGGTCATTGTGAGCAAGGGCATTGTCATGGTGAAACACCCACAATTTGTCCTACCACAAAATCATGTGAAAAAAAGAAATGGAATGGTTGTAGGAAGCTAAGATTACAGTTCTATACTCCCAAGATATCATGTTAGATGATAACATAATCCACTTATCCCTCTCATGCCCAGAGCTCACACAGAACACCCAGGCCTTATAAAGTGAAGGACAGCACTTGCCACAAACTGCTTTTAGAAGCCTGAAGGAAAAGATCTGGGACAGATAAGACATTACTTATTATATCATGACCAGCTACTACCTTATACTGTTCATCTCCATAGCAATTTATGCCAATTAAATCTAGATACTGAGAAAAGGGAATGTATAAAAGTTCCCAGTGTTCGAAAACAACTGCCTCAGAATCATGGCTGGGAAAAATATCAGAGACAGAATTAAAATGGCTGCCATAAGAAAAACAAATTAGCTGTAAAAACTGACATAATTTCCCTGATTAGGAGGAGGAGGCTAAGTTGGTTTTGCTATGAAAGCAGAAGAGGGGAATAAAGCTATGTGTATTGCTCCTACAAAGATAACTTCCCTGGCAAAAGACCATGTGGTAGACAACTTAAGAGGTGAAGACCAAATCAGAGTAACGTCGGATTGACGCTTGACAGTATTGCTTTGAACAAGAAGTATAAAAGGATGTAGTTGGCAACCAATATAGGAGAAGGACAACTGTATGTGCTCTCTGGTGGGACACATACTTTTCATTCTTGAAAAAGAAAAAAAGAATCATGGTTAAGGAAAATATCAGAGTCAAAATCAAAATGGCTGCCATAAGTAAAAAAAAAAGCTAGGTAGAAAGACTAACATAATTTTTCTCATTAGAAAAAAGGTTAAATTGGTTTGGTCATGAAAGCAGAAGAGGAGAACAAGTCTTTGTGTGTAGATTCTACAAAGACAACTTCCCTTTCAAAAGACCATGTAGTAGACAATTTCAGATAGAACACTGATTTACCAATTCCAACACTAGAAAAGATTGCTTTGTGCAAAAAGAAATAGCAAAGTTGTTTGAACAAAAAGTGTATGAGGATTTCTTTGCAACTAATGAATGAATAATGATAATATTTATTCTTATTTTTGCTTTTCAACAACCACAAATTGGAATTTTTACATTATCCAGTCATTTTTACAACTGGATCTCTGAAAAATGTCATCTGGCCAACCAATGATAGTCAAAAACCTGGATTAGTCCAATGAAGAGGTAAAACATAGTTGGAGTATCACAAGTGCCAAAAAATATAATTAATAATAACCATAGATTCTCTGAGATGTTGAAGTTTGGTTAATCATTTTCTTCAGTTCAAAGCTGCTGATTTGTTTAACCACAAACCTTCTGTCAAGGCTTTTTGAATTTTAATTTTAATCCTAATTTTCTTCCTTTTACAGGATGTTGCCCGACAAAACATTGGCAAAATGTTGGGTATCATAGAATTTGGCATTGCCGATTGTACTGTACGTGTCAATTCAGTGAGTAGCGGAATTATTGAAGATGATCTTAAAGCTGTTTTGAAGGCGTCACGCCTACCACAGACTGTCATCCTCCCAAAGGTAGATTATGTTCAAGAAATAGAAGAGGTACATGATTTTTTTCTTCTTTTTGTTTAGAATAACTGCCATTAATGTAAATACCTTGTAAATTATGCTACTATAGAAATGCATTGAGAATGATTGTCATTGGTCAGGACTTATGACAGATCTTGTTGAGAAAATAGTGCTTTATATTACCTAATGTAATTGCACTGCTAATTAATTTTATGATAAAGATTATCAGTAGTCAAGAATTAATAATTTGTTTGTTTAGCGGCATGTCAATTCCTTATGGGTCATTTAATGCCGAAATTTAATTTTCTTGGGAGCATTAGTAAGTTCTTTGACAAAAAATGTATTGCTGGTATTTTTCCTTACAGAAATGTATTGTTGGTAATTTTTTTACTATTAAAATGTATTGCTTGTATCTTTACTATTTTAATACTGCTATTTTTACTATATTACTTTTTTTGGTGGGATTAACTATTTCGCAATAGCTAGTAGCTTAACAGTGTTACTGCCCTGAGTCAGGGTAGAACTTGAAACGCCAGCAATTAAGAGGTGGTTCCACACTCCTCAAAACTTTCTGATCAAAGGCCTTGCTACTGGATGTAGTTTATCATCATACCTAGGGTAAAATAATGTGTTACTGATAAAACATTGCTATTATATGTTTAATAAAATCCTGTTTTCTTTTTTCTTTTCTAAAATGAAACCATGAAAATTTACCCAGTGTTCATAAGCTCACAACTAATTATGGGAAAATAGTTTTGGTATCATCATCAGTCCCAAGACCAGGTGTGGTTGTAGGGTGACTGTTTTCCTTAAGACTTCCTCATTACTCACATGTTGTGTCATAGTGCCCTTAGCCTTTGTTAGCAGACCAATATCTCTGTTGCTTCAAGTCTCTTCATCATCTTTAAAGTAATTGTCCAGCAGTCACTGCTATATAGAAGATTAGATATTACATAGCAGTTCAGCACATGTTCTTTTTGTTCCTAATGATATCTTTCTGTTTCCTATTACTTTGCTTAGTTTCTGGAAGAGATCTTTTACTACTGCTATATGAATTCACAAATTTGTGCACCATATTTTCTGTTCTTTGTTGCAACACTATCAAGATTGTTGAATCATTGGTATTTAACCAAACTTATATATATTTTAAATTTGGAAATAAACTCACCAACAGTATGTTTTTTTTTTGTTTTGTTTTTCATATCATTGTAAATTTCTGAAATAAAATGGAAGCCTTGAAATAATGACAAAAATGATAATAATGACAGCCCAATCAAAAGTATAAATTGATTTTTTATTTCTTTTCAACTCTGATATTTTTGTAGTTCACTGCTATGTTGGAAGATATTTGCTTCCAATACAAGATTGAATCATGGAAACCGGCCCTTATTACCTGTGTCGAAACAAGTATTGGCCTGCTTAACTTGCAGGGAGTTCTTCAACGAGCTAAAGAACTCTCACAGACTGGATGCAGATATCGGTTGGATGGTGTTTTATTTGGATCAGATGATTTTTGTGCTGATATTGGTAATTATTCACTCTGAATTAAATTCTTTGTGCAAACTAACATCCTCATCATCTACCAATTTCTTTCAACTTAAAAATTTTTGAGTATTTTATGAACTTCTGAAAAAATGTTATTTCAACCAGCATTGTTGAAATAGTTTAAAGAGTGCATATGACCAAACACAATTGTAATAACAATGATAATTATCTGAATAAGTTTAGAAATAAACCACTTTTTAATGTTTATATTTCTGGCAAGAGCAAATTTAAAAAGTCTTTCAATTTTATCCCAAGCAAGGCAGTAAAGCCACTAAGGCACAAGGAGTTACTGTGTGTGAAAAAATTAGAAAACAGAAACATTATTAAGGAGTGAGAACAATAGAAGAGTAATCAGAAAGACAGTAGATAATGGTTAGCATTGCATTTAAATTTTTGAAGATTAAAATTGGCCAGAAAGCATGTAGCTAGAAATGAGTTCCAGAAGCAAGAAATGCAAGAAAAGAAACTGTTAGCATAGAACTTACGGTTACATCTAGCGGCCAATTCAACTGTAAATTGATGAGACTTTGTTGCCAATCTAGAACTGTGCTTAAATTCATAAAGTCTAGGTATCATAGTGAAAAGCTCATCATGTAATGTTATAGTCTTCTTTTATGTGTCGCGTCCCTTCAGGGTGTACGCTATCATGGCCTCCTCCTGTCCCTTGTAGTTTTTTCCTTTTGTTATTTCTCCTAAACTCTGTTCCACCATCCAGTTGCTGAAGCCCATCAAGTATGTTACACACTGCTTTCCTCTGTCCCTCTTTCCCTCTATCTGTGCTGTGAGGATTAGATTTTCTAAGACTTCCTTTTTCATTATGTGCACCAGAAATTTCAACTGCCTCTTCCTGATATTAAGTACAAGTTTCCTCTTTGTTTCCATTCTCTCCAAAACCTTGTTGCTCACATGTTCAGTCCATGCCATCCTCAGCATCTTTCTGTAGAACCACATTTCTATAGCTTCAAGTCTCTTCTTCATCTTTGAGGAGATTGTCCAGCATTCACTGCCATATAGGAGGACAGATATCATGTAACAGTTCAGTACTCTTTTCTTTGTTTCTAACAAAATTTTTCTGTTTCTTAATACTCTGTTTAGCTTTTGGAATTCATCTTTGGCCATCCCACTATGTCTTCAGATTTCTAGGGACATTATCATTATGAATAAATAAAAATAAATTATAAAATAATAATGAAAATTATAAATAAAATAAAATAAAACAATAACATTTAAAGATTGTTTAAAATAAATTAAGTAAAAATAATAAAACTCTCCCAGCATAGAACAAAAACTGTTCCTGCCAGAAATATGAACATCCTACCAAAAGACATTAAATTCAATCTCTTCACCACAAACCTTTGTATGGGCAACACGTGTCCAACTTCTCTCTGTGATATGGTGTGTAATAATATGAAGTAACTTCTTCCTCTCATTACATGTACCGTGAAACAATTGTAACGTAAAAAATACACACAAAAAATATAAATAAATTGTAGGAAATTAACATACAATTTACCATGTTTTCTTGTTATTTCTGTATGTTTTATTTCCTGTCAAGTATGCTTTTATATCTGTGAGGACAAGACTAATTTCTGCTACTATGAAGTGAGTGACCACACAAATTCTTCTTAGGTCTTCTGGTATATTTCCACTCTTGTAGATTTCATTTATTATTTCTGTGATCTTGTCTATGCCAAAGTCATCTAAGGCTGTCAGCATCTCTACTAAAATTCTGTTTGGCCCTGCCACTTTGTTTCTGTTCAATTTGGCCAGTCAGCTTCCACTTTGGTTTTTAATATTTCCTGTTTCTGTATTTCTGTCTATTGCTAGTTGTTTTCTTTCATTGCGGAAGAGTTCTCCTTAATATTCATTCCATTCCTTTCTCTAATATCATCATTCTGTCCCTTGGATTTTATGCAGCCTGTTGATGAGTATGTCTTTTCTCCTGTTCTCTTATTCTTTTATGTTATTTTTATATAGATTAATAAGAACACAAGATATTTAAAATTATTGCTTATTCAACTACAGATTTCAGCAATTAATATTAGTGTGTAGGTATGTGGCTATGGCAGCTTTCTTCAAATGCATATTCTTCTTTCTCTTCTTCTCAGGTGGAGAACATATATCTACCTGTTAACCTACATGTGCACATTCTCAGGGCACCTGGGTTAACCATCTGTTTATGTTTACATGTCAGGAGTAGCGAATGACAACTAGTGAATGTACAAATTTGCACTTGGTTGCTAGGAGCTCATCTTCCAGATGAATTTGCTGATTCACTTGGCTTCTCTGATGCTCTGAGTGTAGTCTATTTTGGTGTCATCTGCAGTAGGCCCAGTACAAATTGGAGTCATTGCATATCAAATCTTCTTAAAACAAAAGTTTCTTATTGACATTAAATTCAAAATATTTTCTTGGCAATAGTTCTAATGAACTTTCCTCCTTTGTAACTTGACTGCATTTATTTATGTGTCTTACTAGGTTGGCAACTAGGTCTCACCATGTTACTGTTGAAATAGATGTAACTGTAAGTTCTTTTCTAATAGTTTAATTTCTCACACTTCTTGCTTGTGGAATTCCTTTCCGTTTGTTTCCTTGATAACTACAATCTTGAAAACTTTAAATGCAATGCCAATCGCCATCTTCTGTCTTCCTTACCCCTGTTCTTTTATTGTCCTTTCTCCTCACTAAAGTTTTCTTATTCTCTTTCGCTTCCAGTAGGCCCCTTGCACCTTAGTAGCATTATTGCCTTGCTTGGATTGAAATAATTAAAAAGGAAGAATTTAGACCATCAAGTATTTTCTTGCAAGAATCACCTACTATATGCCTGCCTTTATTTTTTTTTTTTTCAAATTCATACTTTCCCTAAAGTTGTAAATTTCTTTCTTCTTTTTTTTTTTTTTTTTTTTTTAATAAATTGGTTTGAAGTCTATTTTCTCCTACTAACCTTAATATCAAGTTTCCACTACAGAGACATCAGATAAGAATTGAAACTAAATATGTAAAATAATTGTTTATTCACTTCTAGACTCCATCAAATTAACAATGACTCTTAAGTATGTGGTCTCAGGTTTTTTCTTTGAATGTCTAATCTTCTTTTTGTGAGGATACAAGGGATTTTGCTTTTTCCCCTCACAAATCATGTGTTTTTATAGCTTCATGTTACCTGTGTGTGTGAGTGTGTTTTTGTTAAGTTCAACTGTGTTTACTTCCTTGTTTGTGTTAGTGTATCCACCAACATCCTTTAATGCCCGATTCTGTACTTAAGTTGACACCTTCTCAGTAAACACTTTGGGGCTTCTAGTTCTTTTGAATTTCTGAGTTGACACGAGGTACAAAACCTATATTAGTATCTCTTAGGGTAAACTTGGAAATATTGGGGTCACCACAGATCAACTCTTCTTAGATAAAAGTCTCCTGATGGGCATTAAATTCGATTCAGACTGATATTTCCTGGTGTGACTTTGATTTGCTTGCTGAAACTTTTGAATTGTGATCTGATTTCTCAGTCATTCTATGATCACAGTAACCATCTATGCTATTATCTCTGGACACAAGTTTCTATTCAACCACTTCATCCAACCTAAATCCAGTTCCTGCTGAGCACTCATCGGCTGCTCTTTTGAATTATTCAACACGGAGAAACTGGTAGAGAGTGGTTATTTCAGGATCTTAATTTGAAAATAAACATTTTCTCATCATAGACATTCATAAGGTTAACCTTTTCAATCCTAATTGCATATATACAACCCATGAAAATACATCTTAATAATAATAGTTTTTAAGATTTGCAAGTAATTTTTCATGTTTATTACATAAACCTGTTGGAATATTTTTGTCTGATCCTTAAAATCTTTAGTATATGTTAAAAATGTGAAACAAAAAATACACTGACCCTTAAGAGTAAAACATATTCAATGTTTTAAGAATTCATGTAAAATATGCAAAAAATAGTGGAAAACTAAAATGGAAAAGAGTGAAAGCACATTGCAATGCAAAATATTTTGACATTTTGTCAAAATGTTGCAGAAAACAGTTAATTTTACTTATAGAACAATTTTATAGGAATTCTTGAACATTCATTCCTGAAATTTCTTGCATGCTGTACTTGTCTGAGTGGGCTGTATGTCTGTTTACTTGACTGAGCAGGCTGCATTTTGTTTCCACCTGACTGAGAGACTGTGTGATTTTTTTATTTATCATTGCACACTAAAGGTTTGCTTTTATATTTTTAATGTGTATATAGAATAAACTATCTTTTGAAGTTTTTTATTTATCTCTATCCTCAGGTTATTAAACAGCAACAACAAAAAATATGGCCTTAAAATAAGAAGTTTTTTATTTAAAAAAAAAATTTTTTTTTGTTTACAGGTGCAATTCGGAGCAAAACAGGCATGGAGGTTTTCTATGCAAGGCAGAAAGTTGTAACAACAGCTAAAGCATACAGATTGCAAGTCATTGATATGGTGGACATCGACTTCCATGGTAAATTAGCCACAAATTTTATTTTTTGACCTAATTAGAAACAACTGTCAAGTTGAAACTAGTTTTATTGCATTACTTTAATATTTTTATATTTCTTTCAATTTGATATTTTTAATATTAAAAAAAATTATTTTTGTTTTTTTTTATTTTGCTTTTTATTATTTTTTAGTTTATTTTTCTTTTCTTTATTATGTTTTCGTCTAAACATTTTCATTTTACCCAAATTATCTGTTAAAAGCTAAACAGTCAACAAGCCAATTCTGCAAACCATTCACTAATGTAACAACTTTGAACCTCACTGGGGATTGTTACACTATCTATAAGCTTGTAGCAGACTAATCTTCATCATGAGTGTTGGGTTGTAGTGGGCACCAAATATACTTCAGTGATGCATCTAGATCAAGATAACCTGACAGAGCCCATCCCTCTTCAAAGTTGGTTTTGAATTCAGAGTTTTCTTTTTCTTATACAGGCTATCACTTCAAGACAAGAGAACCCAGTCAGCCCTACTATTTAACCCATAGAGTGAATGTATGGATTCATACCTTTCCAAGGGTATTTATACAAAAACGAATGTAATGAACTTAGCTGGAATATGAGCTAGGCTTATAAATTTTTCTCTCCGGGTCACAGTTACACTACCACATACCCTGTTGTGGTTATGCCATTTATTATATGGCGATTGAATATCTGGACAAACATGTCATTCAAAATTTGATTGATTCATTCATTTTTATATCTATCCTTTGCAGGTTATGTAAAAACAGAAAATGTTTTTAGATTGTAAGAATTTTTTTTCCTGAGATAATAATGATTTAGTGATACAAATCTTACTAATTAACCCATAGTTAGGGGAAGAAGAAGTGGATTCTTACCTTTTCCAAGTGTATTATTTTCACATAAATAAATACAAGGAACTCAACTAGAATTCAAACTCAGCTCTTCAATTCCTCAATCTGAGCCATTATCCATTACACCAAAGAAGCCAACTGAAATTTGAACTTGGTCCTCTAGTTAACAATTCTAAGCCATTATCCATTACACCACCTGCACATCCAAGCTTACAGCAGCTGTTATTCCCTTCTAGGTACTGACCAGGTTCAACATTGCTTCAGTGAAGTATATTCTAGGTCAACCTGTCAACTGACTGTTCAACCCTTTTCTTTCCTTCTCTTACTCCCCCCACCACGTCTATCTCTCTCTCTCTCTCTCTCTTCCCCTTTCCCCATAAACCTTACTTTGAAATCTCTGTCTTGCCCTCTTATTTTTGAAACTATTTTCTGTTTCTCTATCTTTTAAGCCTTTTTCTTTCTTCTTTATTTTTTCCTTCTTTCTCTTTTTTTTTTTTTTTTTTTTTTTTTTTTTTTGCTTGTGTCTGGTTAAATTTAAAATCCATTTATTGTTGTAAAGTTTTTTTTATCTGAAGAGATGAGCATCTGATCCCATGAAATAAATTATCACCAGTGGATTTCTAAGGACTCCACTTTCATTATATATATATATATATATATATATATATATATATATGTGTGTGTGTGTGCAATTGTCAGTTGTTGATTGAAAAAGAACCTGATGATTACATCGTCCTTGAAAATCAGAGTTGTGCTACTGGTAAGGAACAAAATGTATTTTTATTATTAAAAACACACACTCAAATATATAAATTCTTTAGAAATATATACATACAGGGATGAGTTTAGATCACAGTGCCCATATTTAATGCCGAAGTGCCCTTAAAAAAACAAGCCACATCCCCAGCCATTTTTGCCTTCAAATTCAAAAAAAAGATTTTTTTCTTAAAATTAAGAACGAAAAATGTGGTGTTTTTCTTAGTAAGGTGGTCATGGGAAATTTCCAAGAAAAAATTGAACCAGAGCCCTATGCAGATATATTTTTAAAGAAAAGAGGTAAATAAAAGGAATTTCAACAAATGTTACAAGTTTATTTTAGTCTTGCAACATTTATGTCTACTGGAAATGGAGGGAACATTCTATGTATATACACACATTACATAGTAATAATACATTTCATTTTAAAACGGCAATACTTAAATAGATGGGTCCCCTCAAAAAAGAAAGAAAATTACATTTATGTCAAAAAATCATGGATCAGTTTCATGTATTTATATTGTAAATAGCTGCCCCCATTCTAAAATAACAGAAAATGAATGTTTTTTGATTCTGACAAATTGCCTGAGTAGAGTAAGTTCTAAATGCTAGGCAACAAAAATTAGTTGTGAAAATATTGTTATCGATAAGGAATTACTAATTAATATTCATGTTGGAAATTAAAGGATTGTTTTGATATTTACTGTACATATTTTTTTTGTGTCAATATTTATTTTGATTTTATGCTGAAAAAACTTTATATTTTTTTACAGTAATACAACAATCTCATTCTTTCCACAGCATATTCTAAGCTAATAATTATTGATGGGATGATTAATCGGAATTGGGAATTGGAACTTTTTGAGGAATTGGAATTGACATCAGAATCAGAGAATTTTTAACCTAATTTCTGATTCTTTGGATTCTTTTTTTGTTTAAAACTTAATTTTCTATTCCTGGTATGGATAATAAAAAGATATAAATATTTATTGATTTTAAACTATCAATAAAACTAAAATCTATAGATCATAATAACACCTCCTAAGTATGATGTAATTATATTTTACCTGTAAAAAAAAAAAAAAAAAAAGTTCTCAAACTTTCCATAAAGTTTGCTAGCTTAAAGTCAGTTCTAATTCAAAAGAAAATTTTTATTTTTAATTTCTTTTTAAATGTTATTAATTCACCCATAAATGAATTTAATAATTATAATTACAATTATGTAACATAAACACAAAATGAAATCACATTGCTGTTCTGCCAGGCTCTTTTTTGAGATAATTTTTATTATTTTTTTCTTTTAATTTATAAAAAAGAAAAGAAAATGAATGTATGGAATTCCCACCAAGGTCACATTTGATTTCTTAACATAAAAAAATTGACCTTGTGTCCTGAATTGTCCTCATGGTAAGGCAGTTAAATTACAACAATTTGTTTTTATAATAATTTTAATCCATAAAATCATTTTTAGTCTTGGTTATTGAAAAGATTTATTTTTGTTTACATAGCATACTACGTAAACAAAAATAAGTCTTCTTTTCAATAACCAAGACTTAAATAAATTAAACATTCTTTGTATGAAACTTAAATTTGTTTCTACAAAATTCATGTATTTCTTAAAATTTTATAGTTTTCAGAAAAGATTTTCATTTTTTATTTACTTAAAAAAAAACAACTTTTAAGTTTCAAAAAAAAAAAAAGCTTTTTCACACAAGAGTTTGTATTAAAAGACCTAAAATTTAATTTCCATCAAAAATTGTATTTAATTTTTTGTGAAAAATTTATTTTACACAGTAAAACTTATTAGTGATTAACTTTTTTAGATAAGATTGTAAATTACTAGCGAGTGAATGATTTATTTGGATTTAAAAGCAAAATACAGCCTCTTTTTTTCCAAAAAAATAAAAGGTTATAAGTCTGGAGGGCTATATTAGTAGTACTAAGAATTATTTCAAGACTAGGTGGCATCAACATATCATGTCTTTCACCAATAGTACTTAAAGAATTAATACATCACTTTCTAAATATTTTTGGAGTTTAAAAGATAATAAAACTCCTATGGTGAAATGGAAAATTTAAAAAACAGCAAAGACATGCAAATCTTTATATGAACCCTGTTTTCTGTGTTTACATGAAAAATTGGAAATTATCAGATTTTTTTAATGAAAATTCCTTATTTAATCAAAGAAGTGAATTAATAGTAAATTGTAAACATAGTTTACCTTTCACCTTACAATTAAGTTAAACTTTGGAATTTGATTATTTTTTTATGTAGGAAATTCACAAAGCATATAACTTGTTTACCATTTAGTTAAATTAGATCTCTGCCCCAGCCTTTTATTTCTTAGGAAAATGAATTGTCTGGTTTCTATATTTTATGTAACCATATGTATCTGCTTTAAGTTAATGTCTGGCTGCCAATTTACAGGTCATGACCTATTTATATAAATTTGAGCTTTGGTTAACTGGAAGTTCTTTATGGCTGAATGGTCATAGCACACCAGGCTTAATGGTGGTTCTGTATAGGATATAGATTCAATTCCTATTGGAGGATGCATATTTTTTTACACAATTTCTTCAACATCCAGGCTGGTATATGTAATGAATATTGTTTTATTAAAAGAACAGAGCGTTTACTCAAATAAGTGTATCCATAAAAAATAATGTGTAAACAGAAAATATATTAAAATGTTTCTCAGATTTAATCCATTTCTATATATATATATATATATATATATATATATATATATATATATATATATATATATATATATATATATATAGTACAGGTAAATGAACCATTGGTATATAATCTGGGTGGATCCTAGTAATATTAATTATTAAAACTGAGAGAGCTCAATGCATTTATTATAACAGAGCATATGTATTTTTTACAGCAAAAAAAAACAAAAATGACCTCAACATGGCAATAGTCTATTTCAAGCCGGTCTGTAGAGTCTGTCTTAGGGGTTGATGATAGCTGTGTACAGACCATCTTGAAATAGACTATCCCCATGATGAGGTAATTTTTGTTTTTTTGCTGTAAAATATGTATATGTAGGTATGTATATATATATATATAAATCCCTTAGAAATATGTATATATATGAGTTAATGATCAAATGCAGATATACGTTTCCTGTTTGTTCTTTATCTTATATATATATATAAGTGCTGATGTTATTTAAACAGTGCTCAATGTTATGACAGAGCTATAATATATATACAGTGTTGTTCAATAAAAGTGACTTACCTGATTTTTTTTACTAAATGTTCTCTTCTCCGATGAAACGAAAGTTGAGCTAAATTCAAAGGATAAGCGAACTTAAATCCGAAGAAGAAGTTTTGAAAGCTGTTTGAATTTAGCAGTAAGTACTGTCAAGCATCTGTTCAGTATAATGTTCTGGGGATGCTTTTCTTTTCATGGCACTGGTTTCTTAAAACCTATTGAAAAGACCCGCAGGAGCGAGCAGTACAAGAGAATTTTAGAGTCTTGTCTGCTCCCTTCTGCTGAAAGGGTGCAAATCGACCTCACCAGGCTCAGGATAATGCTCCCTGTCACAAATCAAAATTGATGAAGGAATACTTTGATGAGAAGCAGGTGAGAATTATGACATGGGCGCCCCAAATCTCCTGACCTCAACCCCATAGGAAACTTATGGAGCATTATAAAGTACAGGCTCTCAAGAAAGCAGTTCTGCAACATGCTTCATAAGTTTTCTATGGGGTTGAGGTCAGGAGATTGGGTTGCCCATGTCATAACACACACCTGCTTCTCATCAAAGTATTCCTACAAGAAAAACAAATCACCTAAAGATACTGTAAGGTCAAAACAAAGGTAGTAGATTCAACTGACCTCCTGATTTTTAAAGTTAAAAAGCTCTACATGTTATTTTTACTTTTGTTTTTCACATGTGTATTGAGCACTTTTTCTGGTCTGATTCATCCCAGACCATTATTTTTTATTACACACACACACACACACACACACATATATATATATATATATATATATATATATATATATATATATATATATATATATATATATATAAAATTTTTTATAAATGTAAAAGACAATAGGAAAACTAATATTAGCTGATGCATTTTGTCCAATGTAGATTTTTTCAAGGCAAAAACAAAATGAATTTATTAAACAAAGTAACTAATAATAACTTTAATGAATTCATTTCGTTTTTGCCTTGAAAAAGTCCACATTGGACAAAATGCGTTGGCTTATATTACAGTTTTCCTATTGTCTTTTACATTCATAAATATTGTCTTTTTCTACAGGTTAACTCTGAGAAATTTTTCATATATATAATTGTAAATAAGGTAATAATCAAATTTTGATGCCATAAAATATAAAATGTCTCCTTTCCCTTTGCCAAGATTTGGATGCTCTTAAAAAAACATCTATAGAAGGTGCCGGAATGGGTTTTACTGGCAAACAAGTGATCCACCCTGCACAAGTGCCTGTCGTCCAAGTGGCATTCAGCCCTTCTCTGGAGAAAGTAGCTTGGGCAACTGATCTCATCAGACAATTTGAAGATCATGTAGCTGCTGGAAAAGTAAGTAAATTTTTATAATCTATGATTAGTGATTCAAACAGCATCACCATCCTTAGAAAAAAATTTCAGACCTCTTGAAATTTTTCCTTTTCCTCCTAGTTTTGAAACACAATTCCATGTTGATAGCTATGCTTTCTAGTGTAACATGAGATTCACGACAGGAAAATACCTTTTAGTCTGAAATGAATTTAATGTCTATCATGAAACTTTGATCTAATGAGAATTGATTTGTGATGACCCCAAAATGTACTGGGATCACTATAAGCCAAAGCTTTGTACTTGGTGTCTTGTCAGAACATCAAAAGATCTATGTGCCTCAGTGGGTTGACATAGAAGGTAACCTCATTATCATCAAGTGCAGATTTGGACCACAAAGGATGTCATTAGATGTCATAAACAGGAACTGGACCCAGCTGAGCTTAGGATATACATACACACTGCAAACTTGAATAACAGGAAGTTATATAAATTCCCAAACCATGATGGGGGAAAGTGGATCCTATTCTCAAGAGAAGATTGAATGTTTGAAAAAAATTCCTCCAAAAACCACATACCCCCCTTGGCTGATAATTTTGGTGGTTCAGAAGTGAATAAACAATTATTTTTATGTATGAAAAATTTAATCTTGTTTTTCATTCATGTTACATTAGGTATTGCACATTTTACTAAGTACAAAATTGTGCATTTAAAAATGTAATATTTGTTGCAAGGGTCTGCCACAATAGGTGGGGATGGGTGGAAATACATCCTTACAAATGATCTGATTTGCTGTAATCCACTAAGTTGACATTTTTTTTGTTTTTTCAGGGGGCATTTACATACCATGGCCAGATGATAGATATGCCATTACTCTTACAGGCAAAGAACATCATCAACATGTCAAAAATTGTAGCCCAAAAATGAAATCAGTTGGTAGGGGGAGTGGAGAAAAATCTTATTAATTTTATTTTGATTTATACATTCAACCAAATGTGAAGGTAATATTATTGGTAAATCTTGATTGCCTATCAGGTGGAATGGGGAGTTGAATTAAACATGACTAAAAAGAATGTGGAAGTGTATGTATGTGCGTGTGTGTATGTATGTATGCGTATATATATATATATATATATATATATATATATGAGTAAAAAGACAAGGAAAAACTTTTCTTAGCCAATGTGTTTTGTCCTAGGAGCGTCTTTATCAAATTAAATGTGCCTTGATAAAGTCCCTCAGAGGATGAAATGCTTCAGCTAAGAATAGATATCCTCTTGTCTTTTTATTGATTTTGTACCTTCACAGACATGTCCTATCTAAAAATAATTTACACACACACACACATATATATATATATATATATATATATATTTTTATTGTTCTTTCTCCTCACTAAAGTCTTTTCATTCTGTTTCACTTGAAGTAACCACTGACAGTGGCATTATTGTCTTAACTGGCATAAAATGATTTTATATATATATATATATATATATATATAGGGCTTTACACACTCCACTATTTTTGGAGCTGCTCCCACTCCTGCTCCCATACCCAAAATTGGAGTTGGCTCCCCTCATGCTCCCCGTTTTCAACTCCATTAAAAAAAGAGTGGCTCTTTTTTGGTGCTCCATAGTTAAAATGTACGTTCTTTCATAAATATTGGACATTTATCAATTTTAAAAATCTTTCAAAAATAATATACATATTTGTGATACGTGATTTGAGTAAAATTAGCAAATTTAAAGTTAAATTAATCTGATTTGAAACCAACATTACTTACTTTATCATAAAAAAAATAATATACAATCATTTCAACTGAAAAATGCACAAAAACAATTAATACCAAATATTATGTTACTGCTGACCTAAAAAAACAAAACAAGAATTTTAACCTAAATTTTGAACGTGCTACAAAGGATTAAAAATTTTTTTAAAAAAATACTTCCCTTTTAAAACTTACAAACATTTTTGCAATAAATTTTGTTTTTATTAAGTTTGGGGCCTTTTTTTATCATTCTATGAATTTTGGTGAATTAGTGAACATACCTACTTTTATCTAGCAAATGGAAGTAAAAATGAAGTATTAAAAAAAAACATTGAATAACTAATACAGAATTTATCCATTTTAAGAAAGGTAGCAGATTTGGATTTGAAAAGGTTTCATTAAGAGATAGACATTCCTCAGGTAGGGTAATTGTAGCTTGCTTCATCATGATGCTTTCTCATGACCTAATTGATAAGGCACCCTTTATCTCAAAAATGGTTCTGACTGATTTCTAAGGGAATTCGGGTTCAATTCCCGTCAAGTGGTACATTTTTCTTTTTTAGGATTTTTCAATTTCTAGGCTACTTGAAATTAAGTTCACTGTTTAAAATGCCAGAGATATCACAGATATCAATAAAAAACACATGTACCCACTCTCTCTCTCTCTGTTTCTCTTTGTGTGTGTGTGTATATATATATATATATATATATATATTGCACATAAAGTGCTGATGTTATTTAAACAGTGCTCAATGTTATAACAGAGCTATAAAGTGTGTGTATATATATATATATATATATATATATATATATATATATATATATATAATCCTACACTGTTCAAGACAACTCAATTTCATGCCAAACACAATTTTCAGATCTTCAGGTGCTGATTGTGTACAGTACACATTCAGCACTTGAAGATTGCATTTACGTGAAACTGCGAATGGTGTGGGATAATATAAATATATATATATATATATAATGTGTGTATGTCTTGCACCATCTTTAGGAAGTCATGATGGAAATAGTTTCAAATGGTTAGTAATGGTGAATAGTAAGGAAAAAATTAGCAATTATATTTTGACAAACCTACCAAGGTTTCACCTAAGCGGATCGTCAGGGAAGGCTGGCTAAAAAGGTAAAAAAGAATGAAATACTTATAGTCAATAAACAAAAAATCATAACCATGTGACCAAATAAAAAAACAAACAAACAAACAATGGGGGAGGGTTGGGGAGAACCATTTATTCAAATAGAAAAAAAATGGTGGTAGGGTTAGAGACAACAGTGGGTAAAAAACCATTTATTCAATCGAAGAATCTTTTAATTTTCTCTCCTATCAAGGATTCTCTCTTTTTAGTACTTGGAGTTTAAGCCTGAAGAAATAATGTTATCCTATCTTCTTCCACGTATGATCTGCCGTTCTTCAGCTTTAGATATAAATTTCTTACATTCCTTGATTCAGATGATATTTCTTTACACATTTGCATGAAATGTTATATATGCAAACTTTTATCATCTACTTTGTCTCATGAAGAATCAACTTTTGTAAAGAAATTATGAAAATTGGTTGTGCTATTAGATAACCACCCTAATGTTGTTATGCTTACAAATCCTTCATCGTCATTTAGCTTATTGTAACTTCATAGATCACAAGTGGCCAAACTTTGGCTCATGAGGCCATATGCAGCTCTTTGAACTTTAATATGCAGCTTGTGGAAATATGTTGGCTGATCTGCTTTTGTCATCACAGTTAATAGAAAAGGTAAATATAAAAAATTTCAATATTTATAATTATTTACCAGCTATGAATTTATATCGCATTGGATTAAAATATAAGTTTAATTTTTTATGTGTATGTAACAAAAACCCATATAAATTTTGTTCATGTTTTGCAGCTCTCAAACATATATCATAAGTGGCTCTTAAGTAATTTTGGCCACCCTGGCATAGATGGTGTCTAAGGAATTAATTCATCTGCCTTTCAGAAATTGAATAGGAAGGCTATATATATATATATATATATATATACACACACACTTGTATACATGGAATTTGTAACCCTGGGATTTGTCTGAGGATCGCAAAAGCGTGAAACCCAGGATTACAAACTCACATACATACAGCTAAGTATGTTAGCTCTATCACCAATATTGAGTGCTTTCAATAATTACCACACATATATATATATATATATATATATATATATATATATATATATATATATATATATATATATATATATATAGATTGTTCCTTTACAAAATATTGCTTTTATCTCTTTCAATTCTTGAAATAACTGCTGACTTCTCTAATGTTGAAAGCAACAAACAATCCATTTCTTAAAAAACACCTTGGAGAGCTTCAATTGAAATTCATATTTAATATTCTATGTATTTCTTTTCTATATGCACAAAAATTCTAAAAATAGAAAAATATAACATTTCTTCCATTTTTGGCCTGCATAGTTTAATTGACTACACAGAATTGCAAAGTCTTTTCTGGTCAGAATATAAAAGTATCTTCTATGTAATTAAACCAGATTGATGGTTTCAAGGGAGTACTTTTTAAGATTGCTTTTCAAAAAGTTCATATAGATGTTAGAAGCCACAAGAGGGAAAGTCATGACTCCTTCAGGTTGATATGTATAAGGTAAAAAAAAATAATGAAATTGTTTGTGTTACGTGGGTTACTGTGAATGGATTGGTCTGATCATAATATTTGCCACTGTTTCATTTGTATTTTCTAACATTTTACAAAATAAAAACTTCTATATGAATTGTATATCTGAAAAAGGCTGTAGAATGGCATAAATGAGAAGAATGCAAATGTAATTGGTAGTTTTTAAAACTCTTGGAATTAGAAACATTTATCTCAAAATTCCAATTTTAAGTTTTATGATTCTCAGATTAAGTAATTTCGTTTTTACAAACGTTTCACTTTAAAATTTACTCAGAAAAAGAAATAATAAAAAAAACGTATAGCAAGCAAGAAAAAATAGACAAAATGAAATTTGACAAATATTTCCCATGTAGATATCAATCAATCAAACTCGGAAAGAATTTCTCAGTATTTACTGCCTTTTATTTTACAATGAGTTTTTTTTCACTTTTACAAGAGACTAGTTCACTTGGGCCATTAAAAATTGTTGATGTATTTAAGCAACTTTGGAATTGAATTGTACTTGTAAAACAATAATTGTACTTGTAAAATATATTTCTTTAAATTGTTGCTCTGCATGTTTTTATCTAAATTCAATACTTCCAGAATATTAACACATTGACTGCCAATTACAATATCTGACTTCAAATGCCAACTTTGTAACAGCCAACTTCGGCAATGAAAAAAACTTTATTAATTATTTTCTAGCTTCAACTGAAGTCTTAATAACATTGTTTTCAACCTAAAAGTATCTGTTATACCATACCTATGGACTATAATGTGTATGTCCTAATCCTCATAAATACATTGGAATCAACAGTCTATGGGGATTCACCACTAGGTCACCACTAGCAGTGAATTACTTACTACACTCTGCTAGCGAGTATTTTATGTTGTTAATGTTATATAGGTTATCATTCAGTTTCCCACTTACATTTTGTTATTCTTATTCATTAACCTCTTCTAAAGTATCCCTGTGAATTAACTTGTTGTTGGTGCCCACAGATGAATCTATATTAGAAAATGCCTAGCAGAAGATGACTCATAGTCTGTGTCATAATAAAAGCTGCCAATGACTTGTGGGTGGAAGTCAATGTGTTAATATAACAATTGATCTTCTGCCTTGTCTCTCTGCTATAATAATAATAATAATAATGCATTCACATAACTGCAGTTGAGTCATAGTCAACTTGTTGATGGCTGCCATACAATGACTCCTAACCATGACTAGAGAGCCCACTTGACTCCCTTACTATAAATGAAAACAAAATATAAATTCTGATTTGTCCTTTCCTTAGCCTGTTTGCTAACCATGACTAGAGAGCCCACTTGACTCCCTTACTATAAATGAAAACAAAATATAAATTCTGATTTGTCCTTTCCTTAGCCTGTTTGCTAACCATGGCTAGAGAACCCAGTTGACTCCCTTACTATAAATGAAAAAAAATTATGAATTTCAATTTGTCCTTTCCTTAGTCTGGTTGCTAACTATGGG